CGGAATAGAACTGCCCCATAGGGTTTCCAGGGAGTGGCTGGTGGAGTCCAACTGCTGACCTGTTGGTTAGCAGCCGGGCTCTTAACCGCTATGCCACCAGGCCTGGTAAACAGTTAAATAGCTTAAAATTCCTTGTGCCCAAAGGGAGACCCTTCAGCCCAAGAAACAAACAAGAAACCCTCTCCAGGATAAAAGAAATCTTCTGTAGTGTTGCCTCTGGAATGAATACCCCCTGAAGGGACCCTTGTCTAAAATAGAAAAATGCCCACAGAATGACACACAGGGACCCTGAAGTGACCAGAAGATGGGTCCCAGCCATCATCTTTACATATTGCCCTGGTTCTCTTGCCAGAAAAGTGAACGGTGACTGTAGGTGAGCGGGAAGAACAGCTGTTCCTTTACCTGATTTCATAGGAGCCAACCTGGAGCCAATTTGTGGGTCAGCTGGTGAGAAGCTTTTGTTTCCAGCATGTGTTAGGTCCCTGAACCCCATGTCTGTGCTTCTCCAAGGCCTGATGTCCTAGGGCTCACAGTTGGGGGTGGGGTGCTATAGGGTGATTCGGCCATGCCTCCACTGCTATTCACCCCAACTCACTCCCCTTCCCTCCAGCCGGTCCCCATCGATGACAACTTCTGTGGACTGGACATCAACCAGCCGCTCGGAGGCTCGACTCCTGTGGAGGGCCTGACCCTGTACACCACCAGCCGTGACCGCATGACCTCCCTGGCCTCCTATGTCTACAATGGTTACAGCGTGGTTTTTGTGGGGACCAAGAGCGGCAAGCTGAAGAAGGTAAGAAGCTGTGAGCTCAGGTACACAGTGCTGGTCAGCTCCTTGGCCAGGGGTCCCTTCTGGAAGGTAGATGCTGGAGGAGATTTAACTACAGACAACTCTTTCTTTTTTTTGAAGGAGGTTGGTGGTGTGAATGAGGTGAGAGGGGTAGAATGAGGTCAATTTTATGGATGATCTTCTAGTTGCTTCCCTCAGCCATCAGTAAGTGAGTGTCTGGGGAAATGAACGTATTTCAATATTGCCCAGACCTGAAGGAATTAGGAAGGTGCATCTGCCTGGGTGGGGAGAAAAAAATCACTCTTCATTCCCAAAACAAGTAGAATTCATTTTTTTTTTTTTTTTTTTTTTTTTGGAAGGAGTGGAGGTTATTTATATCTATTTTTCCAATTTGGACATACAGTGCTTAATGACCATTTTTTTTTTTTTTTTTTTTTTTGTTATCTGCATTATGAGTCACCCACATCACAAATCCTTTCCCAGACCGTACTAGTCAAAAGTCTTTGTTGAGTCCTGAGGAGCTGGTTGAAGCAAATTATGGACCCCAATTCTAAGAACCTGGGACAGATAGTGGTGGTAAGAGGCCAATTGCCTGTCTTCTCTGTTCCTGCAATCACAGGCTCTCCCCTTCTCCCAGCCCCAGACCTGAGCTGCAAGGAGGAAGTGGCTGCCCTGGCCACCTCTGCCAGCTGGAGGGAACAGGCTGTCTGGGGCGGGCATCATGGGAGGCCTCTTGTGCAGCAGGCTAAAGCCAACAGCTTGTACCTGCTTGTCAAGTGCTTAGGGTACGGAGAGGGAGCACAATCTGCTTCATTATGTGAGATTACAGCAGCCACATTCTTTCCGGTCCCAGCTAATCCCCTTTTCCCAAGTTCCCCCTCCTGCTACCCTTCCCTGTCCCGCCACCTGTGGATCAAGGCACATCAGAACCTCACTGCATCTCAGGCTTTGATGTTGACATCACCCCTGCAGCTCTTTCCTCCTAATCCACTTAGAGCCTTGCCAGGGAAGTTGTTTGGGAATACGTGGAAGGAGGGTAGAAGGGAGGGAGCCTAAGGAAGAATTTCTATGTTCTGCTTGTTCTGAGTTACTGCCAGAGGAGGTGAGAAAAACTGGTCTGGGTTTATATGCAGATGCTGAACCTCCCAGACCTCTACTGGGTCTCCTGACACCAAAGCTGTTTAAACTTTTCCTGGCTCTGTGAGAGGTACATGTTCCCCATTATGCCCTGGACCCTGCCTGGGACTGTTGACTGTAGCCTGGCATCTAGCACATGGAAGAGAGAACAAGTGTTGTCCCTGAGTTGGCTTTCCCAAATTGGGAAGGAAAGGAGATTCTATTAAGATGGATGTAAACGTAGCATATCCCACTGGGACAGGGTTCAGCTTGGACCTCGGGCTGGTACTTCTCTGCTTAGCCATGGTTCTCAGATATGGCTGTGCAGATTGTGCCTAGCAAAGGGCTTTGGGCCAAGGGATCTAGTGGGGTATAAATCCAGCTTGAGGGTCCCTTTCAAGCCACGTGCCCTAGAGTACAGACATCTGCCCAGAGGGGCTCCTCTTACTAGTTCATCTGCCCATAGAGACAACCTTCTTCTAAGTTGCACAAAGGCTTTCTTTTTTTTAATTTTTTTTTTTTTTTTTTTGTACCTTAGATGAAGGTTTACAGAACAAATACTTTCTCATTAAACAGGCAGTACACATATTGTTTTATGACATTGGTTAACAACCCCAC